TGAAAATGAACCAATAGCTGACTCAAATTTATGCAGAGATAAGAGATGTGAGATAATCTCAGATAGAACAGAGCAGCATTCCTGAGCTCTAGAGATAATTGGAGGAAGCTGGGCAATTAAAACTGCTCTGTAGTAGCACAGTATGGTTATTTGGAAAAGTTTTATTGTATTTTTTCCTTTATAAATTAGACTGGATTCTGGCATCTCTGGCTGTTTGATTAACATTTACAATTATAAATTTTGGAGCGATTTTTTTCAATTGTGCTGAAAGCTATGTTTTATAAAAATCACATATGCCTCTTACCTTTAATATAGGTTCTGTTTTGCTGGACAATAGTACTTAGTAAATTTTAAATTATCCCAGTTTCTCAGATTTCCAAGTATGTTGCTTTTGTTTTGTGATTCAGATTTGTTGTCTCGTGGCGCCTTTTAAATTGGATCCAGCTATTAGCAAAACGTACTCATTTCCCTGAAGCTAGTCCCCCATTCTGCAGACCAAAGGCTTAGTACAACTCTTTATTTTTTTCCTTTTTTTCTTTTTTAATAAAGGCATGGTTTAAATTACTTGCTTTGTAAATCTTATTTGTAGACCTCAGAAGTAAAATATTTATTTTTTTGCTTGCATATGTATGACTGAGAACATGAGCAAACTAGATTATTGCATTATAAAAAACATACAGCTTTCTCTGTGGATATTTGTTTTAGGCTTGTCCGATCATTGCAGCAAGGAAGAGGAGAATGTTAATCAGTCAAGTATTTTATCACCTGAGTCAGATGCAGAAAATTATAGTTTTACTTCAAGACCTGTTTAAAATAGCTTTAAAATACTTTTTTTTCCACATGTATCCCTGAGAGCTTTTCTTTTGATGAAGAAATATCACATATTTGTTGCCTAAAATAGCTTTATTCAGTCAGTATCAAGAACCATTTAACAAAAGATCTTGGTCCAGTCTGATGAAATATGAGGACTTCCACAAAAAAATAGACTAAGTCAGTGTCATTTTCGTTTCTAAACATTGCAAAAATCAAAATGCGGATAAAATACAGGTTTGAGTCTCAAGCAATATTGTGTGATGCCGTGTATTTTTCTTAAAATGGAATTACATTTGTAACGTAATTACAAATTACACAAAAATTATTTGTGTAAGGCACTGTTCCTAAATGCAGGAGCTCAGTGCTGTTTGGCTGCGTTGTCCCTTCAAGATGTATTAATTAACCAATTAATAGCTGATATTTATGAAAAAGTCAGTTTCTAAGGGTCGTACCTGACACAATGTCCTTGACTACTGAATTTTGCTTCAATGAGAGATGGGCTGGAGGAAAGAGCCGTTTCCAAAAGAGGAGGATCCATTAGGAACCTGCGCTCCCAACAGACCTCCAGCCCTGCCAGGGCTGCTACTCCTCCTGCCGAGGGGAGGCCTCTGAAGGCTGAGGCCGAGGAAACAGCAGTAGGGAAACCGCTCCCAGTGCGGGCACGCAGGTCCTGCAGCCGCCCAGGCAGTGACCAGGAGCATGCTGGCACTTACAGGTCTTACCACAGCCTTGGGACACGTGACAGCCCAGCAAAGGAGCCTCTCTGCCAGCAGTAACGGGAAGGGCTCTCGGGAACTGCTTCTCAGGTTCACTTAGTGGTGTGTGTGGTGTAACCAGCCAGACCGACATATGGTGTGCGTCTCTGAACCGTGCGGAAGAGCACAGAAGAATGTGCGGAGAGGACGTTTGGAAAAGACTGATGAATTCTTATTTTTGCCACTGAGTTTTTGCTCCTGGGAGGAAAAGAGAAGCCAAGAAGAGCACACACAGGATGCGGTATGGCTAGCTTGGTCCTGCCACAAGCTGCTTAGCTGTCCAATTTTCCTTTTGATACTAGTTTGTTAAAGCGCCTGTTCACATGACACATTCATTGCACTGCAGAGCTGTGGACCCTGTTTTACCTCTCCTCTAGGGACTGGATGAGAAGTTGGGAATAAAAATATTTTTTTTCCATCCTGCTCTTCCATAATAAAATTCTTATATTTTTTAGTGTAAATTGAGGGTTTAGATTATACTAGAAAAATCACTTCTTTGTAGTGTGTGTATCTGAAAAGTGACTGCATTTGCTTCAGCTGCAATTGTGGTATGTGGCAGCCTACAAGCCACACTGCCTGGGGGAGTGGGAGGCCAGGAGAACCATGAAGGTATTTTCAGCTCAGGTCATAGGATTTTATGCCAGTTTTGGCCAGGTGACCTTGCACATAGAACAGTTTCACGCACTGCTTGCTGGGGCGCGGGGTACGTCCCTAGAAAGCTGGTGGGACATGTGTGGTGCCTGTGGCCCTGGTTTTATCAGCTCTTGGGTAACAACTGGTTGCCCTGCTGTTTGCTGCCCTGCAGGGGCCTCTGGGGCTTCTCAGAAAGGGAGGCAAATGTGTAATCCCAGGATAACAGACATGCTGCTTCTGCCCCAGCTGGCAAATCCTGCATTTCAGAGCTGGGTCTGTTCCAGGGCTTGTAAAGACGCTCAGACAGAAAGATGGAAAGAAAGTTTCAAACCTCACTCAACAAATAAATAGTTTAAAAAAAAAAAAAAGGTTTAAAAAATGTTTATTGCCAAGAACTGGAACCCTATAGAGGAAGGAATGATCTAAGGAGGTGGACGCAGCTTAATTGCTCTGTGTTTTGCAAAGCAGTTGGAATTCAGATAATCGGTGCTGCTAAATGTAGGGCAGACATATAGTAGGTTGGCACATTAAGAAGTAGAATCACCTAACTAAATATATTTATACATTAAATTTATAATTATGTTCTAATTTCCATGTAGGTACTATGATCACATCCACAGAAGTTTCATGACCTGACTTTTACACTGTGTAAGAAGCCAAGTGCCTTAATGAAATATTTAGGTGTCTTGCACTTCAAACTGCTCAGATTCTCTGAATTTCTCCTTTTGGGATCAATAAATATTTTAATTATATGGAAGAGGACCTCATTATCAGCATCTAGTTTGTCTGCTTGCAGAAATAATCTATCTGAAGATGCAATCTGAGATCCTGAGGTGGGGAAATTGGGTTCCTCCCCTCCTAGATCAGTGCTGTGACTGCTGCAATGCAAGATACTGTAGGGCGGTGAGTAAAAAAAACACCGCAGTCCCTTTCTCATCATCATCTGCTTCGTGCGTGCTCTGAGAATACATTAGAAAGGCCTTCTTGTTATGCCACAGCCTTTTAAATGTTATGTTCCATTAGAGGAGAGTTAGATCACACTGCCAATCAATGAGAAAGTAAGGAAACACTTAGTTTGTGAGCCTTGAAGGCATGGGCCCGGCACGATCTGCCTGGCATGTGAGAAATGCCCTCTCCCCGAGCTGGATAGCCTGGGAGGATTTGCTGGTGAAATGCTCCGTGTCTCCTGCGGGAAGCAGCAGCTGGGTAGGGTTTTGAGGGTCTGCATTAGGGATGTGGGCGTCCATGGCAAAGTAAGTTTGGCCTTGGAGAACTATTTACTTTTGTGGATTTAACTCTGGTTCCACATGCAGGAGGAATCTTACCAGCTGCTATTTTGTCAGCAGTAATCTTTGAGACAGCTCTCATTCCTCAACAGTTTAACTGTTCAGTGTCTCCGGCGGTGCGAGTGCAAGCTCAGTTTACACAAAAATTCCCTCAGCATTTTATGTCATTGGGAAGCTGTGTTTGAACAATTTTATATAAGAGGTCAGCTGGAAAGAGTTATCAGCTTCCCAAAAAAGAACTCTTTGAGGACATATGAGCTTTCATCACTTCTTAATCATGCTAGCAAGACTATCATTTAATTGCATAACTTTGTGAAATTCTTTCTTGAGAATTTTTTTTCTTGAGATTTTGGCACGGATTAGGATGACAAGTACTGCCGTTATTTCCAAAAGCAACAGTTTGTTTGTGTCTTTCTGTCCCCTTCTTTTCTGACTTTCAGTCTCAGAGTTATCAGTAGATATCAATTAATCGATAATAACAGAGCTTAGACTCAAATTTCAAAACTGATTTTTAAATCAGTTTTAAAAAATGACATTTTAGTCATATTACAAAAGCTGATAATGATTAGGAGCAGGTCTTTTGAAAGATGTAAGAACAAAGGCTGGAGCAGGGAGTCGAAGATTTTTGTTGTACTCAACTTTTTCCTTGAGGGTCAGCACTGTGCTAATAAGGGAATATAAAACTTTACCCTGATCACTGTGTGCTAGTGAGGAAGCCTTGATGCAGTTTAAGATGAGAATAATGCCGCAGGAGTCGTTAAGAACAAAGTCAGTAATTTGAACAAAACCAAAAGATACATAAAGCATGCATTTCAAAGGTGTGCTGCTCACACCATGTAAGTTATTTATATTAATAGTAATTTGCTTGAAAAAAAAGCCTACTTTTCATTACATTACATTAGTAACTGTCTTTGTTCATTTGTATTTGATAGCAGAGGCCACTTCTTAAGTGCAGACAGATTTTAAGCTCTTTGTAAGGTGCTTAAAATCTAGTACCCGGCAAAGCTGTGGTGGCACAATGGTGTTTTACTTCGCTGAAAGCTCTCTGGTTCATGACTTTTGTCCTTTTAGCATGGGAACAGTATTGATACAGAATTATATGTAAAAAAAACTCATCTCTTGGATTTTTATGCTTATGTAAAGGCATCATTTAATTGCATCTTGTAGGTCTTCCAGACATTTGTAGCTATAATCTCGCTTCATACCACTCCATTTGATGTTATGAAGTAGTAACTTCCAGTCTAGCTTAAAGCAAAAAAGTAGACTGAAAGATATTCATAGCAGTTTGAGGTGAAGATATTGTGAATCTGCACCTGCCCTGAAAAACAAAACCTTTTGTGCTCTTATTTTAAAGCAGCAGGACCTCTCAGGAACGTAATGTTAAAATATCTCTTATGTTTCACAGGAGCCATCTTTTACCACCGGAAAAAAAAAATGTCAGAAAGGTATCGTTTACTGACAGTTAATTAAAGATATAATACAGGGTTTTATTTTCTGTCTTCTTTTCCCAAAGGTTCGGCATCGGTGGTGTGAACTTGTTGTTAAACACAAATACGTGCATGGATATGGAGATGTTGAGAAGTTCCTCAGAGAAGATCAGGTCAGTTCCATTTAATTAACATTTTCAAAATAATCAGCCGTTACTGGCCAATGTAAAATATATTTTCTTGCTCTAGACTGTCAAAAACTTGAAAGTATATTCATTCCTTGCCCTTTGCTTAAACACCGTGGTTATGAGAGCCACGTAGGTGTACTCAACCCCCACCAAAACAGCTTAATCCTCTGGTAAGTGGTTAAATAACATATATTACTTCTTTGTTTGTTTCATGCAAGCTGGATGTGCAGTAATGCTCAAAGATTGTTTTTTTGCCAGCATTAGTTCCACTGATGATAAGAGCAAGCCTGGTTGTGAATGCTAGTACCTGTGGATATGAGATGATAGCTGCAAAACTGTCAGCGCTGCAGAGGCTTAAATTTCCAAGACCCTGTTTGTTAATAGAAGTGTTTTACAAGAGTCTGCATTAAAGGGCTGCGGTCATCTCCAGGGTTAGGGAAGTGATGGGAGGAAATTTCTAGAGCTGGACTTGCTTTGCTTTGGACTTATTTAAGCCATTAGGTGATTTTTAAAATTGTAGTTTTACCTCTATTTTTTCAATGTCACTTCCATTTATTTTTATTTATTATGAGCACTAGGAATCAAGAATTTCACTGACTAGCACATGTTATGAATCTAAAATTTATATAAAACTACTGGAAATATTGGGATCTATTTCAAAATCTGAAAGAAATTCATGCTTTTGCCTTTCATGTCAACAAACAGCCAAAGGTTTTTATACTTTCGACAAATACATTTTGTCACAGCAGTGTAATAAAGTTATTATAATGTCTTATATACATTTTCTTGCAGCTCTAGGATATACATCTTATTTTTACCTCAGCCAATAAACAGGTCCCACACTTCCTTACAAGGTCTTTATTTTGATAAATAATATAAACCATAATATAATAATAATAATATAATAATATAAAATAAAACAACACCAAATATGAAAACAAAAACGTAAATGTTGTCGTCATTTTAATCATAGGGAAGGAGGTAGATACGTACCAGTAGACAATGAAAAGAGTGCTCAAGTTTTTTCAAATGTACCTGTTTTGAACTACAGGCAAGTATTATATAAAGATTAACATTTTCTACAGTGTGAGAAAAACTTTTTTTCAACTTTTTTTTTTAAATGTGATCTCTAGTATACTTCATTTAACATACTCCAGCAGTTACATGCATTTTATGGCACAACCAGGATCTGGAATGATTATGGCTGAAATAAGAGCAGTTGCATGCCCTCACTGATCCTGAAAGACTTGGCTATTTTAAAAGTCTGGAAAAAATGCAAATGTGACCATTTAATCCTTTTCAGAATTACTAAAACCCAGTATGTTTACTGAGTTTTAATATCTGGGTTTGGGGAAAATTATTAACGCTGGGTAGAGAGAAATAATTCCTATTTGGAATCAAATCTCAACGTTTTGAAGTTCTCTAGGAAAGGGACTGGGGCCCCGCTCCAAGGCAGCCTGTCTGGTGTGACTGCCCCACAGCTGCAGGTCGGGGAAATCTGAGCTCCTGCATCTCCGAGTGCAAGACAGCAGAGCCGTGGGACTGGCGAGGAGCAGGGCAGGTTTCTGTCTGACGCCTCCAAGGCTTGGTTACATGTTAGATTTCTCTTCTGGTTGAAATATGTGGAGTTTGCCTTGACTTTTTTTTTTTTTTCTTTTTTTTTTTTTTCTTTATTGCCTTTTTTTTAAAAAAAGAAAACACTTAGCAGCCAACCTTATAAATTGGAAGGAATAGTATTAAAAATAGACTTCCAATGATATCCATATCTTTTTACTGTACTGCAGCTATCCAAATATTGAGTACTATTGTAAAAGTTAATTTGTTAACCCGCTAATATTTTAAGTCATATATGCGATGCTATTTTGGTAAGTGTAACTTAACACTTGTTGAATTCCTTGCAGTTAGATGAAAATATTTGTATTATTGGGGGGGAGAGGGAGGGAAGGCAATCTGCAATGAAATTTTGTCTCCTATAACCACCTAGTGCTTCATTACTGCCAACAGGGCCTGGATTTTTTCCCCATAAACTCAGTTATCTTTCTTGATTGCTGCTATTTCCAAAACGGGGAGTCAGGAAAAGCCTGTTTTCCCTACCATATCACAGGAGGGTATGCATGTTCAACCATATCCATCTTGCAAGAGAAGAGATTATTTTGAAACACAGAGCTGACCATTTTCAGTTGACTTCCAATCACAGAATTGCCAAATGGGCATTCTAGAATGGTCTATTTCAGTTGATGTGCACTTAATTCCTAGGTATGGAAACAAGGCAATTTGAAAGGAAGTATTTATCCTATTAAAGGAAGAACAAGTGACTTTCTTGGGGACATTTGGAAATATTTCAGGTAGTGGATACAAGAGAACAGATTTCAGTTTGGAACATGTAAGAAAATTGGAGTAGGGAGACTCTCATATTAATGTTCCTTTTTTAAAATAAATAAGTGCCTGATACAATATATAGATGATCTTCCTTAAGCAAAAAACAGCCATAGCACATTACATTTAGTGTGGAGGTGTGAGCATGTGTTGTAGAGTATATGGTCTTTTTTTCAGTGGGATATTTTGGTTTGATTTGTTTTCATTTAGTGAGTTCTGTGAGTTCTGTAGAACAAAATCTTGCTCGCTGGTCACATTGGGGATAGAATGGATGTTTGTTTATTCCTCTTGCAGGCGATGGGTGTGTACCTCTACGGAGAGCTGATGGTGAATGAAGATGCAAAACAACAAGAACTTGCCCATAAATGCTTTGCTGCAGCACGAGAGCACATGGATGTGTCCTCAGCCAAAGTGGTGGCAGAGATGTTGTTCTGAAGAGGTGATTTTTTTTTTTTTAATTAAAGGTGCTTGTTTTACCTCATGCAGAAAGAATACGGTAGCACACTGAACACAGCAAGCTTTGCTGTCCCATAGAGTCTGTGGGTGCTTAGCTCAAGCAATTACTCCTACTACATTCCTTGCTTGTTTTCAAACTAGCTGCTGGAGCAGGAGGCAGCTGCCTGCAGAGTAAGCACCCCAGCACCAAGGGCCTTTGCCCCAAGCTCTCTGAGGGCTGCGAGTGGCAGCGGCTGGGCCAGGCTGCAGTGCAGTTGCCCTCCACTCTGCTTTCCTTTTGCTGTTTGCAGAGCTCCTTAAAATGGCATGTGTGAGAAGCAGTCTGTTTGTTTAATAAAATTGCATGTTGACTTGCCAAGCAGTGCAGTCTTTGAAAAGAATCTGCACCCATAAAGGAATTATGAAATTGTGCATATGAAAGCAAATCCTAATTTGCTAATTCAAACAAATCTGCATTGTCAGGTCTCTAACAAATGAAATTGAGGTAAGAGGAGTAGCCCTGACATGAAAAAGCTGCTTCATGTTCTTCATACTCCATTTAGCTTGCTTCTGAAATTAAAGAGTAGAGAAAAAGCAAAATAACAGGAAATATTCACCAGCTAAAGATTGATACAGGCTATGAAGTGGTCCTTTGCAGAGATATTCTCCATTTTGCCCTCTATTTGGGTAGCCTCAGGTAACCTTACAGTGTTTGTACATGCCGGTTTAACAAACAGCCGATTAGGATTGGTATTAAGATCTTTTTCAATACAACATACCTCAGATTTTTGACTAACCATGTAACTCATCTGACAGGCTCAATGACTTGGTTGTTCACATAACTTTACAGTTGATTTTTAGTATCAAACTCCAGACATCTAATTTAGCAAAAACATCATTTTTTGATTGTTTCTGAACAGGAAGCTTAATTCTGTCCCCCATTCAAGCCTGTACACGTGGCCAGAACTTGATACTCCGTCCCATTTGAATTTGTGACATGATTTGATTTGTAAGGAATACAGCAGAAGCAGATGCCATAAAAACAAGTTTGTTTATTAACAGCTCTGTTCTTCTTCTGGTTAGACAAGAACTGTGCCTGCTGGGAAGACTTTGGGGGAAATATGGATTAAGCCATAGCTTGCTAGGGGGTTAGTAACGGTGGGAGAGTGGGTTTATAAAAACAATACCTACAATTTATAAACCAGTTATCAAAAATGCATCCAAGTTTGAGAGTTATTATGTTCAACATTTCTTTATTCTGATACCTGTCTTTAGTTGTTTATAAGTTTATTGAAAGCCAGAGAGATGCAGTTTGTTCTCCTGTCTTCCTATACTTGCTTACATATTAAAATAAAAACTAAAATTTCTACAAGTCTCCAGTGGTAAGTATGTGTTAGCAGCGGTCACAAGTTACCTGTTTGATTTACTTTTAGATGGCCTAGGAATACATGCATGCTGAATAAATAAATTAGATAAATAAATGAGCTAAATAAATGACAATCTAAAGAAATTGGTAGGGGAACACCACTCCTAAGAAATATACCTCTTGTTCTAAACTTAAACACGTGGGGGAAGAGTAAACGAACAGGTTTCTTTTAGTGTTGTGGCTGCTTGGGTTCCTGGCATGATGATTTGTGACTTAAGATTAAAATCACATTGCCAGGGATTACCACGTAGCCACAAGCCGAACTGCCGCCGCGAGAGCCGCCGCAGCCCGCGGGCCGCCCCCGTGCAGCGCCTCGTCCCGGCGCCTTGTGGCAGCGCCGGCTGGGCCCGCGCGGCACCGCGCGCCGAGCGCCGGGCCTCCCTGCCGCGGTGCAGAGCTTAGCTGGCTGCTGAACAGTGGTTCTCTGCTCTGTGTTCACAGTGGCTAAGTTCTGCGCCCGGCAGGAGAGACGAGCACGGCCACGCAGACCGCGCACGGCGCCCAGGCACAGCATGGCGGCGCCTGCCTCGCCATGGCGCCTGCCTCGCCACAACATGGCAGCACCTGCCTCACCACGACATGGGGGCACCTGCCTCGCCACAACATGGCAGCGTATGCCTCACCACGACATGGGGGCACCTGCCTCGCCATGGCGCCTGCCTCACCACAACATGGCAGCGCCTGCCTCACCACGACATGGTGGTGCCTGCCTTGCCATGGTGCCTGCCTCGTCACGACATGGTGGCGCCTGCCTCCCCACAGCATGGTGGCGCCTGCCTGTCCATGGCGCTTGCCTCACCACGATATGGCGGCACCTGCCTTGCCACGACATGGCGGTGCCTGCCTCGCCCTGGCACCTGCCTCACCACGATATGGCAGCGCCTGCCTGGCCACAACATGGCGGTGCCTGCCTCACCACAGCATGGCAGCACCTGCCGGGCCATGACATGGCAGCACCTGCCTTGCCACAACATGGCGGTGCCTACCTTACCCTGGTGCCTGCCTTGCCAAGACATGGCAGCGCCTGCCTCACCACAACATGGCGGCGCCTGCCTCGTGCTCTGCAAGGCGTGCCTTCCACACTGATGTCACTACAATGCTTTTCTGAAAGACAGGGAACTAATAAATATTTGTCACTTCAAAATGGAACAGTCTGTAAAACTGTGTTTTGTAAAGCAGTTTGTCCAGCGGGCCCTCGCGCTGCGGTGGCACATAGCGATCTGCGTTGTTTGCAGGAAATGGTCGTTGGCGACTGGAGCTGCCCCTTGCGGCTGCCGCTGTTCCAGGCTGTTGTTGGACCCGTCCTCCGGTGCCTACTGAGCTGATATCAGTTCTGATTTTATACACTGGCTCAGTTCAGCAGGAACAGGAGTCGAGCCCCAGAGCAAAAAGATGTTCCTTTCCCGTGACAAAGGTCGTTGCCGTTTTCTTTCTAAAACCAAATTAGTAGCCATTACGCTGTCCTGCTGTTGAACAACAAATGCAAAAGGTGGAAAACCTGAGTAGCCCTATAGAGGCGCTGGATACACACACCATTGTAGGTGGGGTGTGTGCAGACCACTACAGGGATACTCCAGTGAGTAAGTAAGCTACTTCTAGCATCATTTCTAGGGTAAGCTGCTAGTAACCGAGGGAACAAGTTCATGCTTTCGCCCTTCTCAGTAGGGAATTGGGCTTCCTGTTGGGTAGCGTTTCAGACCTAGGAAGAGCTCTCGTTGAGTACTCACACCCTTCACTAGGCAAAATGTAAGAGTGTTTTTAGAGATGTGGTTACAAATTTATCTCTGTAACTTAAGCCCCACAACCACAGTTATGCTCTACTAGTAACCTAAAGAATAACCCCATTTTACAAACTGGCCCAATTAAGAATGCACAGATACTCCTTCAGTGTGACAGAGCAGTAACTTTTACTGCTGTTTCCGTTGCAGGAAAGATCACAGATATATATCTGTTAATATATCTGCTACTAAAACCTAGTGCTACTAGGATTTCATTGACCCAAGACATCAAAGGAAGGATTATGTGACTAAATCAGTCAGCTGAAAGAAACATTTACCTCTCAGTATTTACAGTTTCCAGAGGCTTGCTGTAACCAGGAACACCTAAAATACACACACACACACACACACACACACACATACACACACACGCACACACACACGTGCTCAAGGTAGCTGTTCTGAACAGGCATCTTGGGTTTCATCCTTGCTCTTGTGAGGCCATAGTCCCCTCCAATGGGCAGAGATGGGCAGACATCAAGCACTTGCTTTCATTGCTTAACGCAGCCCAGTAATTAGGCCAACCTAGTAGGAACCCTTGAAATTAGGTGAACCTGTATTTCATATTTAACATTTGGTCTGCACTATATTCCAAATCTAAAAAGGCTGTTAAGTTAGTTGTGGGGGAGAGGGAGAAGTCTGTGAAAAGTTGCCAGCCCCTCTTGGGGTGTCACGGGGCTGAGGGAAGGAAAAACATAAGCGCCTGGTCGCCTCGCATAGGTTAACTAACTCCTGCCATAAATGTCAGACCTGCTGCTGACGGAAATGTTTTCCTTACCCTTATGCTGCACCTTTTGTACACTAATATATCAAGGGTAGCTCCTCTTCTCCAGGAGTGTGTTGCTGCACGGATCACAGGACATCTTAATTGTTCCCTTCAGCAAATGAGCCTTTTAAAAACAGGAGAAAAATAAAATGAATATGTTTACTTTGTACATTATTGTTTTTACATCAAATACTCTTGTAAAAATAAATATTTTTTAAAAGTATGTGTAGTTTCTCTATTGTATAGCAGCTCAAGTTAATTTATAAACTTTAAAAACACACTTCATATGCTTTTTTACTGAGTTAGTTAATGGACATTAACAAGAAAAACAAAACACAGAAGTGACTTTTAAAGTTCTGTTGCCCCAAATCACCTGGGCCTCTCTCCATGGGAACCAACCCACCGGACGCTGCTGTCCCCACGCTGTCCCTTCCCAGCAGCAGTTCACACCCACTACTATAAAAACAAATTAAGACAGTAACAAAATCTGGAGAGACAATGCAGATATCACCATTTATTTTGTTTTTTAAAAGCGATCTAAATTTTTTTTTTGTTTGTTTTGTTTTGTTTTAAGCATCAGCAGTTTGGTTCCTCTGCTGCATCTTCTCCAGTCTCTTTAAAAACTGCATTAACAAGAGTGAGAACTCGAAAATCGATTCCCAGTCCTCTGTCCAAGTGTAGCCGGTGCTCCACACAGAGGAGGGACAGAGAAAAAGGACTGGGAAAAAGAAAACCGCTCATGTCCTCAGACACAGGAAGGAAAGGATGGGGCTGACCCTGTTTGGGGTTGTTGCACCCTTTCCTTGCTTGTCAAAGCCCTGTTGGGCAGAGCGGGGCCTCGGGCTCAGCACGAAGCCAAGGGCGTCTCACGGAGATAGATGTCTGTGCATGCGGCCCGACGGCAGCAGAGCCCGGCGGAGGGCAGCGAGGTAAGTGTGGTTGTTAGAGAGCACTTCAAACGGGAGCTCGTGTGAAATCTTTATGACCTGCATAAAAGGAAAATAGCAGCTCGGGTAGGAACCACACGGCCCTGCTGACCTCTGAGAGATGGTAGTGAAAACTTTGCAGAGACAACAAGTACTGTTCATTTGATTAAAGGTTATCCCAAGGTAGGTGTTCCCCTACTAAATTCTTTACAGGAGAGAGATTTTCTATCTGTCACAGCCAGTACTAGTGATAGCAAAGAAAAGCAAAGAAACAGTAGCAAAGCCGCTTGAAGCCAAACTTGTTACTTGTGCCAACTTACATCACTACCCCTTGGGTGCACTAAGATCCTGGGGGGCCGTTGGTGCCGGTTTGTTGTTACACAGCACTGTCCAAAGGGTAATGAGGCATCGGGGGAAATGGCACCGAAGGTTAGGAGGGCCAAGCTGTGGTTTGGAGGGGAGCAGCAGGCCACGGGGGCCGGGCTGTGTGGGGTCGGTGGCACGAGGAGCACCGATCCTGCCAGGACAAGTCACAGAGTCATGGAATGGATCACAGTGGAAGGGACACCCAGAGACCATCCAGCGTCTGCCTTTTGCACACTCAGACCCTTCAATAAAACACAGCATTTCAATCTTTTTCTCCTATTTTGGTCCTTTCTCAGCATGCAGATAGTTGTACTTGGCGCTGTATTGAGAGCCCCTTTGCACAGTGCTGGGAGACACTCCACTGATTTAACTAAGCCAGGATCTTATTCAAGAGCAGCAGATGGCTGGGATCGATTCATTCCTGGCTATGGTTTTAGCTGTGGAAGAAGGTCAGGAGGGACTGGTGATGACCTGCTGATGATGGTAGGTGGCACTGCCGGCCGGTGGCAGGAGCAGCTCCTTGATGGAGCCCTTGGACAGGTAATGCTCCCGCATCCCAAGGCTGCCAGGGAATTCTGCTCCTTTGGTTGAGCCCCGGGGCGCAGGTGCCTCTGCAGTCCTCAGCACGGAGGAGGAAACAGGAAAGGGGAACGGCCGCTTTCGCAGGAACGGGCCGGCAGGCGCTGCTGAAAGGGGATCGGCGGCAGGCTGCACCGCGGAGGTGGCACCGCATCGC